CTCCGACTACGACTACTACTACTACTACTACTACTACTACTACTACTACTACTACTACAACTACGACTACGAATACGACTACGCCTACGACTACGACTACGACTCCGACTACGCCTACGACTACGACTACGACTCCGACTACGACTACGACTACGACGACGACTACGACGACTACGACTACGACTACGAATACGACTATGACTACGACTAAGACGACGAGGACGTGGACGACTATTACCTACTACTACTAATAATAATAATACTACGACCACGACGACGACTACGACTATTGCCACCACCACCACCACCACGAACAATATTACTACCACCACCACTGCCACTACCGCGACGATGACGACTACTGCTGCTTCTGCAACTACGACTGCGACTGCGACTGCTTCTGCGGCAACCACTACTTGCACGACTACGGCTGCTGATACGCTTCTGCCTGCGACTGCGACTGCGACTACGGAATGCTGCCGCTGCTGCAGCGACGATGACGACAAACACCACTAAGCTTTATGGATTGCTTGTCAGCTTATCCCTCACCGGCCCGACCCATAGGCCTTCTGTTCCACCCAAAGCCCCACCAGCCTCACTCTCTCCGTCTGCACGGTCAAGGTTTGCAGAATCTTGGAGCCAATCGCGCAGTGCATCCAGGCCAGCGGCACTGACCTGGGAGGATACCAAGGCTCACAAAGGTATGAGTAGGATGTGTCAAGGTATACAAGAAACAGCTATCAGCGCATTCCCATTAAAGTCAGCAGGAACCTTTCTCCCCTAATCGGACCCTGAGCACAAACCCTGAATGCCGCGCCACCGAACCAAGAACTCCAACTTCGTAGCCAAGAGACCGAGATGGCTTCCGATTGCAACTTCTCCAATGCATCTTGTAGGGAGGTAGTTTCCATCAAGTCGCTCCCCAGCATGGCGGCTATGCATTCCAAGGTCTGGGGTTTAGGATTGTGGAAGACTTAGGGTGTCAGGGTTTAGGCGGTGGGTTAAGGAGTTGTGACTTCTTTCGGTTCATACGTGCACTCCGACCGTGCCAGTAGTTTCTTGTTTCCGATGCCGACTTCGATTTCAGGCAGCGGGAGTAGTTCCTTCTGCGTGCGGTCTGCTGGATCGAAGGTTGAGGCAGTTAAAGCATGTGAACCAGGTTTTAAAATGTGGCTCGAAAGCAAAATGCTGCTCACGGTAACCCACCTGTACCAAATACACCACACATCCTTTGTACCCTTCATGTTCCTAGAACATCCAGACACTTTTATTTGCAGCCGTGTAGCTTCTGACACGAACACCCTCCCCGCCCGGCCAAGAGACGCTTCGTGGTTTATTGCTTGGTCTGACTCCAAGGATTCTCTTCTATTGGAGTTGCAAATGAAAGGTTTGACGAGGTTGTAGCTTCCGGTTTGTACAAGAAGGTTCTGTCGAGTTCAGGATTTGTTGTGCCTTCGTCAGTATGCATCGAACAAGTTCGCCAGCTCTGTGATCCGCTTCCGGAAGCCAAACGACACAACGACTCGAACTCGGGAGCTGGTGTGTTTGTGTGTGCTGTCTTAGTCAACTCAACAGTTGAACAAAGATTAGGAACTGGGACTTTCTACACGGACTTTCCGGACCAGGGATGAGGGGTTGGGTTGTAGCGATTAAATCCATGGGAGTCGATTTGCTTTTCAAGCTCGGCAGGCCTTTGGTTTTTGGATCCGAGGGCTTTGGAATAGTCGATGTTGGGGATGTTTTGGGTTTCAGGAATATAGGGTGCAAAAACTTTAGGGGGTATGGACAGGACTTCAAGAGGTTGCGAGAGGTTGAACCTTAAACTCCTTCAGGAGTAAAGCGAACAGATTAAACGTGCGCATCAGCGTTAGAAACAGCAGCACCAACACTTGCCTCTTGCCCCACCACTGGCCCGCTGTAATTCGCGCGGCCAACGGGCATAGTACGCGGGACCTATGCTCCAGATGCGATGACCGTGCCTTCTACATGGGCGAGCTCAAAGTGCATAATATGCATACTGGCAGGGCACCCGGTCTTTGGCAGCATGGCTTTTAGCGACTCGGGTTCTTATAGAAAGGCTTCGGGACAAGGGCCAGCCTTTGCTTTCGGCAGCACTCCACCAATCCGAAACCACTGCACCCTGCTCCCATGGACGCTCGGAAATCGAGGCAGTGGTGCGGGATCCAGGCTGCAACAGCCCCAGGTAGGTGTTTCAACAGCCGGTGGGCTGCTGCAGGGACAGTAGCGTATCACGGTAAACCACTCGTCGAGAAACGTTGTGGATCAAGACGTGCCGTATTGCACATATTGGTTCTGACTAAAAGAAGGGGGCTGGGACCACAATGACGATGACGATTGACGGTGGTATTGATAATGATGATGATGATGATGATGGCGATGATGATGGCGAAAATCACCACTACCATCTGCATCACCAGCTTGATCGCTGCGACAATCACCGTCGTCATAATATGTCGTCGCCACCTCCGGCGTATTCTTCCCATCAGCATCCTGGCCACCGAAAGGCCTTGTCGTGTGTAAGTGTCAGCCATGATGACTGCTAAGGCTGCTAAGGCGATCAGCATGAACTCATTAGATCACTACTGCGACCGTGCGATGATGATGATTGTGGTGGTGGCGGCGATGATAATACCACCTCACAGCTTGCAACAGTGAGTTTAAGACTTCGACCCCAAGCCCCCAAAATGCAAATTCTGAACTTCACACCTTAAGCTGCCTTGCCGCTATACCGTGCAAACAAGCTGCTAAAACCATAAAAAAGTCCGCAGAGGCTATGCGACAACACGCATCCACCCCTGAGCTACGACTCCGCAGCTCTGAGACATAAAAACTCCGAACCCTTAACCGGAACCCGCCCAGACCTCAGTGGGGCCTTCAAGCCTGCAGCTCCTGAAGCCCCAAAGCTCCACGACCGCCGACTCTCGAGGCATTCGTTCTCGATCTTAAGCTAAGGCTAAGGGTAGGGCTGAGCATTTCGCGGTTGATGCTAAGCCATGGATATTTAAGTTAGTGTTCGGGGTAGAGGGACCCTCGCAGAAGCGCGGAACTCAGGACTGAGGCTCGGGCCCCAGGTGAAGACAAAGCTCGGGCCATCCACCCCTTGTCAAAAGCTTTCTTGACGACTGTCACCTCTTAATTCTCAGAACCCTCTCTCACAACCCAACTGTTGCTGTTGTTTCGATCATCGTTGTGGTGGTTCGGATGATGGTGGTGGTGGTGGTGGTGGCCGTGGTTGGCGGCCCTTTTGGTGTTGCTAGTGCTGCTGGCAGTGGTGGCTGTACTGCCGGTCGTGGCTGGGCGTCGCGGCGGCTTCTATTCGCTGCTTCCTTCATGATGCATCGAAGCACTCTTGTATGTCATGTTGACATGACCTTTCCCGGACTTTTACAAGCTTGGGTATGCGACCCTGTGAGAAACTGCAGAAACCAACGCATCATGTGAGGGCTTTGCACCCGGTGACGTGTAATTAGCAAGAAGCACGAGAAGCAGGATTTTTGGTTCTTGACTATTTGTCATGAAACCTCACACGACATTGACATGAAATGGCTTTCGGTGTTTTTGTCACACAGACACCTCCAAAAAACATCTCCGAAGCCCTGGCAATCTGCCCGACTCGAGGCCCTAAAGGTCGGAGTTTCAAACCACTGAACCCCGGAAAAACCGCCTGAACCAAAAAACCCTGATACCTTGACTGGGACCGCCATCACGAGGCACGAAAGTTGGGTCTGAAGGCTAAACCCGACAAGCTCCAAGCAACTGGAACCATAGCGTTCTCGAGCTCTCGGACTGGCCTAGCTGGACCTTGTCGCCGCTCTTCATGACCAGCGCCGTCCTCTCGTGGCCAGCGTGGAAATACGAGGGTTTGGGCATGTCAGTTAAAGCCTCGAAGTTTAGATGACGTGATGCCTCTCGATTGTATACTCGGAACGGCATACAACCTGATGCTGATCGAACGGAGAAAGGTTTTGCTCAGCTATGAGCTATGTACTAGTTCGACGAGACTTTCCAGACCCGGCATAAGGGTTTCGAAGACGTAATCCGAGGACTCACTTCCTCTTGACAACCAACATTGCACCTGGTCAGGCCTTATGTGCATGTATGGCGCTGCTCAAAGTCTTGCCAGGTCTACCTGTCCCCAGATTCAGACGCCAATGCAAGCCAGTGCACAAACCTCGGATTCAAAACGGCCTGCTTGGCTTTCGATAGCCGGGCAACTAGCACGAAGTCTGCCCCAGACCGGCCAGGGACTTAGAAGTTCGTGTTTGCGGTACCAGCACCAGCAACTGGCGGTCCAAAAGGGGCTTAAGCCTCTATAAGCGATCTGTTTCGGGCTTCCCACCATTACCAGCTGAAACGACATGCAAAAGCTTCCGCGGCAGGCATCGGCAAAGATGACCCCGGAGACCGTAAAACCCACTAGACGCCCTATCATGATTGTCACCACTACATTGGCGCGAACAGCTACACCACCTAGGCCCACATGTCTATACTGTACGGTATACAGACCGTGAGACCTTGTGAATCCATGTGAGCCCGAAGCTGCCTTATCTACGACCGAAGTTGCCCAGCAAGACCTCGAGCCTGAAACTGCAGGACTTTTTGGCCCTAGGTTCGCAAAGTCCCTTGTGCGCAGAAGCCGCGAATCCATAGCCCCACCACTGATAATTGAGAGTTTATGTCCTAGAACCATCATCACCCATACCGTGCACACCGAGAACCTAAACTACACTTCTCACGCCCACGCAAAGTCCCAAAACCATAAACCCTTGAGGTAATCCTAAAGCAAACCGTTTGTAGCACACCCTGCATTAAGGAATTCACTTCAAGACTTTGAGGCCCCTGCGCTGTCACACGGTGGTCGTTGAGGAATGTCCCGTTGCCTGAGCGAAGGGTGCAGAACAACTAGCAATGCTTCGTTTGGAGCTCGGGGATACCCGATTGCCGGAGCTAGGCAACCATAGCTTGATATATATATATATATGTATATAATATTGGCCTGGACAAAAAGCCGTACAAAGCCAGAGATCCAAACCTCTTGTAGTGTTTGCGTCTTCGGGAGCGGACCTGTCAAGATCGAGCGTCGCCAATGCAACAAGCCGGAGCGCGACAACACTGTCACTTCTGTTCGGCTTTCTTGGAGCTGTTCCAAACCGTGAGGCTGCAACAAGCTACTCTATGGCCTCTACGGGTGGATACTTCCGAAAGATCCAAAGATGGACCTTCCACGGGAATATCTCAACCCTGAAGAGTGAATGAAACCCTTGCCATCTTAAACCCTCAAAGGAACTCTCTCACTGTCCAGGATCCAGGCATTCAAAATTCGCGCTGCCCTAACGCCTTCTACAGCCATGTAGAGGCCCCCATGACCAAGCAATCTTCCAGGTGCTCGGCGGGAGCTCAAATCTTTGATGCTCGCCGTCCCATCCGAGGAGAAGCCTTCAGCTTCAGCTGGGCTGCGGCTGTTGAGCGCTTGAGGACATTGGGAAAGGTTTAGTGCTTTAGGGCATTTGAGGGCTGCTTACCATGTCGGCATTCGGGGTTTCTGATTTAGCAGCAGCAGTTGTGACCTCGCATGTGTGCTTAGGGTACATGGTACATGGTACATGGTTTTTAGCAAGGGCCGGGATGTACATCTGCGCTGGCTGTCTGGCAGTCGCAGGCTGGTCAGGACGGAGCAACCCTCAAGGGTTCAGAGGCTTGGTTTTGGAGCTTTGACGGCGGGTTTCTTAGGGTGTAATGCTCGGGGTCGAGCGTTTAAGAAGACCTTGTTCAAGGATGAAATGAGCCCTGAAGCGCTTTTTGCCGCCTAGGAAACATCGAAAACTGAGAGCTGGGCTGACTCCCATGTGCTTGTTTGAAATGGCCTCCAAGCCGGAAGAAACTTCACTCTGCAGGCACGAAAAGCCGGCTAGCCCATGGAGAGACCAAGAAAACGATGGTACCGACATCAGACACGCGTGCTTCTAGATCTTAACATTTTCCGCACATGTGTTTGAGCGGCTTCGGCCTCGGGTGTGTAAGGTTCGCTGGGATTCGGAGTTTAGATTTCATACGTTGCGCTCCTCTTCGGCCTCCTGACTCACCCCAGTGTCGAGGAATCGGCTTGGACAGTCACGCCAGGATTTTGGGGATTTCTTGTAGAGATGACTTGAGATTCGAGCTGGAAGATTCCCAGGACTGTTCTGTTGCAGTCCCTTAGCAAGAGATAGCAAGAAACAAGTGGACGGAATAAGGAAATGCCCGATGGCAGCCAAGCAGGAAGATACAATCATGAGGGACGAAGCATAAAACGACGCTGTCGGCTTTCCGCTTTCGGACTTGAACTTAAGATCCCAATTACCAAAGGCATGCCAACTGAAGCCCCAAAGCCTTGAACTGTAAGCCCGGTCAGATTTCAATTCCAGTGCCCCCTGCCTGCGACCCTGGAATGCAGGTGTCGCATGCCTCGAAATCGGGATACTGTTCTGAAAGGCCTTGACAACTTGATTTGGATTTGAGTAGGGGGCCAGATTTTGGCGCAGGCTTTCAGGGTCTGAGTCTTAGAAGTGCAGGATGTGCTTGGGTGATGCGCCAGCCTATGTATCAGCGCGAGAGTGCAGGCAGGGTCCTTGTTCCTGCCTGATTGGCACTGCGAACGAAACAATGGGGAATCAGATTTTCAAGTTCTGGTATTGCCAGCTCTTCTGCAGATTACACTGCGCTGCATGAGCAAAATCGCTACATCTGTCTGTATATGTTAGGTGACAAAGGGTAGCCACATTGAATACGAAGTCAGGATTACGGCATATCCGCAGCTGGTCCAAGTATTTCTCGTCAGCCGCTAGCCTGTGTAAAATGCCACACTTTCACAGAGGCATCCCAACTCAAGAACGGGACTGAAGAGCAAGTTAGAATCAAGAACGTTTCCGGTGTCTGGCTGTCTCTCGCGAATTCCGCTTTGCAGCTACAGGACGTTCAAAGTCTGAGGGTATGGACATTCGAAACGGAAGTCCGCCAATAGCTGTCCGGTGCAGCGTCCCTCCAGTAAGCATGGCCTTTTGCATCATTAGAAAGAGTTCATCAAATCCAGACCCCGGCGAATAAAGAGGGGGTATAGGACGGAACGGCTCCGTGTCAAATGGTCCCGTAATCGCAGTTGTTGTTGTTGTTGTGCCAATGTTACATACACATTTCTACGTTTTGAAGACCATAGGTATGTTGCACAAACCAGGTTATAGATAGTTTGAGACTCTCAGGACAGGAAGAAGTACTCTAGACGGGCGCATGTGGCCTGCATCCGATTCCCATGGCAGTGGGCCACTGAGAAATTCTGGAGTGCGCAGCTGCAAGTCGCTCGAAACCCCCATGCCTCCAACAATCCCTGTCAAACCCTCAGACAGCGACTTCAGCAATTCCCAGGGGTCTGACCGTACTGCGACCGATGACATTGTCCAGGCCTTTTTGCGAGGTTTGGTTTAAAGGCCTGTCGGAGTGTTCTAGAAAAAGCCTTTGCACTCCTCAGCATTGGTGAAGTGATGAAGCCGTGAAGCTCGCAAGTTGTGAATCTCGGATCTACGGTCTTTAAACCTCGAGTGAGGGACCAGACCACCACGCTCTAAAGCCTAAGCCATAGTTGGGCGCGGGCTTACGGTTCGGGCGAGCTTGTTCACGTTTCCTGCGGTCATTGAGCTGGAAGACCTCTCGAAGCACACCGCCCCTTCTTGCCTGGTCCTCTTGGCAGCCACTTCCAAGTTTGTGGAATATGTAGCTGGGCCTATTGCTCTTCGCTGTGGCGTGTGCTGGAAGTCGACAGGGTTTAGGCTGGAGATCTTAAGGTCGATCAAACAGACATCCGTTCGATGTCTACTATAGATCTTACGATTGAATCCCTGAACTCTAAACCTCGTGTTCTGACCTGGTCCGGCTTGTCATCCTTAACCCGCTGAGCCTGCGTGCCTCGAGCCGTAATCCCTTTTACACCTGCTGCCTGAGACAATGAAACCCCGGAAAGCCAAAAGCTGCTACTGAGCGCATTGTAGAAAACCTCCGCGATTGCGACCGCCAGCGAAAAAAAGTGGCGGTAGCCGGGCTCATGCGTAATCGCGTGCCCCTAACATTGACCCCCCCCCAATGCAAAAACCTCCCGGCCCGGGATTTCGCGGTTTGGACCCCGCAATTACCAGTTAATAAAAAACGTTAGGGGGAGCCTAGGATTTTATTAGTTTTAGTAGAGCCAAGATGAATCAAACCGAAATGACCGGAGCTTCAAGGTTTAGGGGCTTATAGGGCTGGAGCTTAAGGTGGGCTTAAGGTTTTTTTTTCCCACCCGCCCAGCTGACAAGTCGCACCGCAGGGATGACATTTTTTTTTAGTGTTAACAAACTCTCTGAAGGCGTTGTTCCCAAAAAATCCATGTCGTTCCCAAAATCACCTTGCTTCATCTTCTGATGCAGTGATCAGACGCTCAGCAAAGCATGATCCCCGTGAGAGGCAGAGCTGACTTGGTTGCGGTGTCCGACAAGTTTTCCATGAGAGCGGAAACTTGTACTCCAGCTTTGATGAGGTTCAACCCGATCATTGAGGAGAACTGGTTCAAGGACGCATCAGTGAATTGTGTCTTCGTTGGCACCAGGATGCAGCCCTCAGACTCCACGACGATGGTGCGCTTTAGACCAGAGAGTTCGCCGAAGTTTTTGGACTTCGGATCCCTCGTCGGAAGATCAGCGTCTGACTCAGCATCATCCTCTCCGTCGTCGTCGACCTCAGTCTGCCTAACCGCTCGGGCCTTTGGCCTGGCCTTCGCTTTTGACTTCGCAGCTGGCTCTGGGCCTGCGTCATCTCCATCTGCTTCGACCAGGCCTTCATCATCTGGTTGCACTTCCTCTCCCCCATCATCCCCAGTCAGCTGACCTTCCAAAAAATCTGTCAGTTTCGCGAGACGATCCCTTGTTGTCTCTGGCGCTTGGCCTGGTTCCGTTTGGCGCTCACCCGGCTCTTGCTCTTCATCAAGCTCCCCCTCATCTGGCCGCACGACAGGCAGGACTTTCACATCCATCCCAAAAGTTTGGGCCAACTCCGTGAAAACAGCCGCAGGGACATTCAGCATCGTGAAGTGTGCGCACTTGTAGGTGGTCTGACCAACTTTGTACAAGGACCTCTTTGCTTTGGCTGGGAGATAACTTGAGGTCCAAGCCCACCTCATCCGTGCGAGCAACGGGGACACACTGTCATACTGCTTCAAAGTCCTCGCCAAGCCGCCTTTCAGATTCTTCGACACGAGCCCCAGCACTATCAACACCACGGCAGAGAGACTGTACGCCCAGATACCGTCTTCGTCGTACTCATTGGCAGGCAAGCCAGACAATTCAACCGCCAGTTCTGCGAAGCCGAGTGCCACAGAGGAGATGGCATTCTCGACTTGCGACTTTCTGATGAGTTCGTTGATTGAGGAGCCGACTCCCAAACCGTCTTGCACGTCAAGCGCGATTTGGTCGCGTTCGGAGGTTCAGACACCCACCTCGCCAATGATATCTCCGGTAGACAGGAGGCAACGGCGTTGAATTGGGCCTTAAGACCCATTTCGTTAAAAAGAGCCCTGCTGAGGCTGATACTCGGCGGAGTAGCAGTTGAGGCTCTTGTCGTGAAGCTCCTGTCCTCCATGGCCAGTCTGCCGCAGCGGATCACATTGGCGCACATGACCCCCAGTGCTGCAGCATGTGACATAGTGCCGTCAAGGACTTCGGTTCTCAATTTATTGCCGGTTGGCAATGATTGTAAACTGCTTGCCGCGCTTTCAATAGAATGGGCTAGGCTCGTCTTGTGAGCCCAGCTTCTCTTCTCAGAAGTTTCGGGAGTCAGCTCTACCTGGCGTTGTGAGAATATACCCCTCATCGAGCCCAGAGTCGTGTACGAGGAGGGTCTGCTCATGTAATCCCTTGGCGGTGTTCTCACCAAGCCAGCCCCTACAATGATGCTCTCCAGGAAAACGTAGGTCAAAACTGCAGTGAAGGCCAGCAGGCCGACATCTGTGGCATCAAGATCATTCCTGCCCTTCGACAACAGAGCATGTAGCCAGAGTGCCGGCCCGTCCAGCAAGATGACAAGCAGAACTGATATCCCATGGGACGCCAAGCGGATGTCCGAAGCAGTTCTTGTTGCAGGGTAAGAGAAAACAAACCCAATCAGGAACACTGGGCTTCGGAACAACTTTCGCAATTGGGCAGGAGGTGCTACGTCGGCACCGAGGGCTGCGACGAATGAGTTGATGATCATCGTTGCCAGAAGCACACAGCAGCATGCTCGGTTTGGAGTGCCCAACAACCTTGTTGCGGCCGATGCCAGCAAGCCCAGCGTGGCTGCCATTGCCCCACGTTTGACATCTGCTCCAGGGAACAAGTTGATGTACACGGACGCCGTGTAGGCAGAAAAGATCACACAGGTCATCATGAAGATTGAGCCCGCAGTGTAGATTGGGCTGAAAATGGTGATAGAAGTGCCCCAAAACAGCAATGCAGAGAATACCATGGATGCCCCCCTGGCTTGAGAAGCCAACCCCACTTCGACAGCAGCCCTCGCAGCTGGATCTTGGGCCTCAGGATCAGCCTGCATGACAGTTCGAAGTGCTTCGGCGAACATGGTCTTCTGAAAATCCAAGTGAGATGCGTTTTGGTTCGACACAATATGTGCTTGAGCCAAAATGGCTTAAGGCTTAGGGCTTAGGGTTTTAGGGTTTAGGCTCTAGGGCCAAGGGCTTCAAGGTTTCATCAGGGCTTTAAACAAGCATGGAGGCTACAGGCTTAGGATAAGCTAATGCGTGATGGACGGTCTTTGTGTCTGGCAAACTATTCCTGTCAATCCGACTCATACCCGGATGCGCCGAACCCCCCAATAATAACCAAACCTCCGGAAATCAGTTCTTATATTGGGGGGGTTTAATATTAGGGGGAAGGGATTATTGCGCAACAGAAGAAGACGAAGAACAACAACACGAAGACGGTTAACCCGAGACGGGAATTGTCCCAAACTCTAAATTCCTCTCCCTGAACTCGATACTACATGCCTGGAAGCTCATAGAGGTCTCCGTCGGGCCCTCGGAGAACGGCGAAGGCCTCATCTCTTGAGGGTAACAAACTCTGCTAGGGTTTGCGGGGTGAAGTTGTGTGCCGCCTGCTTGTCTGACTCAACAGCTCAACCCTCTCATGATCTGAGCCGCAACCCTCATCCGTCTTATGATTGGCGCGGCCTGCGTTCCAGGTCCTTTCCGATTCTTCTCCGCCTTTCCTGAAGATATTGCATACTTCGCCCTGCGTTGCTTTGTTGATCAAGGCGCGGCGTCGGAGTCTCACGACATTAAATTGGAGTAATGCATATCGGGCACCGCAACCTCAAGATATTGATATGTTAAAAACTCCGCCACCAGCCATGAGATACAAACGCCTAAACCCTGAAACCAAGATAAACAATAACCATCAAATCCGAAAACCCTTGAAGTTGCAGCCGTTTTTTCGAACTTTGTAACATAGCAGCTTGGCGAAAGAGTTAGGTAGGCGTTGTTGGGAGTGGCCCTGTACGGCTGGATACTTTGCTTAGACTCGTGCCTGCGATCCCAACATAGTGGTGTGTGTCTTGAGGCCGGGAAAAGAACCTACGAGACTCTAAACTCAACAGTAGCAACCAGGTGTAAGAGCTGACGGCCAGGCGTTCTCGCTCACGTCTGGCATCGGTTCTGGGACAGGAGGTGGACTGGCCGCAAGCAGCAGGAAAGATGCAGTTTACGACTTGGCTTGTCCTGGCGAGTCTAGACCTTCATTCCCGGAGCCTTGGGGGCTCCAAGCCGATCTTCGCAAGAAACCATCGCTTGCCGTTTGAAGATTCTACTCGGTGTCCTAGTTTCTTGTCATCATTTGCAGCTGTTCTCTGCTTGCCGGTTGGTTCCCATGACAGGTGCGTAGTAAGTTGATACAATACAGCACTACATACGGGTGAAAGTAGCGTCAGCAGCAGCAGCCGTCGTCGTCGTAATCGTCGTGCAGTCGCAGCCCTAGTTGTCGTGTCAGCAAAAAGGAGGACTCCAGCAGGACAGGAAAACGCCGTGAAAAAACTGCGCAAACATCACACACAAACAAACAAACACACAAACAAACAAACACACACACACACAGGCACGCACACAAACAAACATTCAAGCTGGAATCATGGCACTCTGCGAGGCACTTACAAGCTCTATACATGGGAAAAAGACCCGCTATGACGGCGGCCTCGGTGGTGGAGGAGAGGGAGGCGCCGCCTCAGAAGCCGCCCCGTGTCGGTGAGTGTTGCGTCTCTAGCGCGCTCAGCCACTGTCGTCTTCACCGTGCTTGTCGTAGTACCACCATAGGAGTTTCCGACGCTGCCCCAGAATTCAACCGACGAAAAGAAAAACTTCAGAACCTTGAACTGAAGACTTTTTCATTTCAAGGACTCAGATGATACCCGGACTCTCCGGCTAGGCACGCGCTGCACGCCGTCGAGAATGCGCTGCGCTGCCGCCTGGATTTTAGGGGGTCGCAGTCAGGGGTTTCGGGCTAGTCCGAGCTGCATTAAGACTCAACGTTCAGGGAAGCAGAGGTTCTCGAGTGGCTATGCTCGTGGAGCCCTGCAGGCTCCAGCAGACACTTGGTTCAAGGTTCAGGTGTGAAGGTTTATTGACCAGGGAGACAACTGTTCAACACATAACATTAAACTAGGTCGGAAAGATTAGACGGCCGCCTGTGCCCTAAGTCTGAAGCTGCAACATCCAACCAGTACCGCCAGAAAACCTGACGACCCATCAACCCAAAGCAAACCTGCAGAGATAAGTATTTATCTATATCTATGTTTATATATTTGCCCATGTAGCTATATGTATCATTTATGTGAACTTATATATTTAGCTGTATACACAGACATTTGTATGTTTGTCTGCTTGCGTATACGCATACATTTCTATGTTTGTCTGCTTGTTCATTGAAGAAATTATGAGTGTTTTGCGTGCTATGCATGTGTGCGTGTCTACTTGCGTATGTAATTGTTTTACATAATAACAATAGGTATATTTGTTTCTACATACATATATCTTAAAACTAAATATCTATATATATATATATATATATGTATAGTTATATATATATATATACACATACAGACATAAGTACAAGTACAAACGGTACTTGCTATAACAAAAGATAATACATACATGTTACAATAGAACATAGCAAACTGTAAACGTGGGATTGTAAACTTATTACAACATAGTATAGTACTGTGTTGTGCTGTGAACTATACACGCAAATATATAATGCGTCATGGTTCTACACAAAATCGTATTATGTAATGCAGTCAAAGCAATGAAAATGTTATATAAACAACTGCCATAACACACTATGCTACAATATGCTGCAATATAAAAAGAACAGGGTAGTATAGCATACCATAGAATACAATGACAAAACATACTTATTTCTGGAGAGTGCAACGCAATACAGGCCCGTGTTTTTCGAGCAAAACACATGTTTTTTAGATGTTTTAGGCTTTATCCAAATGAACACATATGATATCAAGAAACTGAAACTAGATGGTATTGATTCTAAAGGAACGGAAAATTCGTTTTGAAACGATATTGACCATCCATCACAAACACTACAGGTTTTTCGCCCAACAGCAACATCAAATTGATTTCCGATGGGTATGGACTCACAATATCATTACAGTGATCTAGATGTATACTACGCCACAACCAGACGGCATCGGCACGCAACAACGAACGAATTGGGATGTCAATGGTTCTGTAACTGTAGCTACAACAACTTGAATATGGATGGGTCACGACCCCCAATAATATTGAATTGATGTTGACATGCCCTACCAAAAAGGAAAATTCGAATGTGCATTGACCAGAAGACAAGAACTAGTTGCAGTTGGATAGGTATTCAGCTACGACATAGAAGACGGAGTTCGGATCGGTTGTGACCCTCAGCACCAGCTAGTTTTCTGTCGGGAAGTAAAGATCTAAAAAGAACAACAGACTATACAATAGTGATCCACATGAATGCTGAACTATATTTAGACGGCGGCAAAACTGAATTTGAATGGGCATTAGCACCCAACAGCAGATCATGGAATTTATTTCTTGTCGAGCCTCACCAATACGAATATTAATATAGATGGGTATTGGCCCATAGCCAACAAAACATACATAAATTAGATAGGTGACGAGCTAAATAAACTTAATCAATTAAGAAGGCTGTTGACCCCAACATCAAGGCGCGAATTTGGATTGGTATTGAGTTCCATAATGCAACTTGATTTTAGGAAGGTATCGAGTGGGTATTGTCCCACAAGAACAACAAATCCAAATTGGGTGGGTATCGGCCCATAACCTGAAACTGAAATTTGATACATATCGAAAAGCAACAAGAAAACAAATTAATTTTCTGGGGTGTGCTTTGGCAGCCCCGAAAATTATTTGTGAAACCTGTGGTGGGGATCAATCAGCCTGACACTGGC